ATCTTTATGAAAGTAGATTGCTCAGTCTTCCTTCTGCGGAGTGGCCGGTGGGTTTGAACCGCCAACCTTCTGGTAAGCAGTCAGATGCCTTAGGTACTAGGCCACCAGGGCTCCTTAGAACCCAGGAAGGTGCTATACTTATGATTCCAAATCAGGGTGAGGTCTGGGGTGGAGGGGTCCTAAACGCAAAGCTTCTGTGTGCTCCGGGCTGCGTGACCCTCCCATGGTTGGCGGAGAACACTCTGTCCAAAGTATCGTCAACCCAGGAAGCTCACCTGACTTTCAGTGTCCAGAGTTTTTATTGGGGTTTTATCCTATAGGTGTGATTGATCATCACCCACATAGTTGAACTGCCTCCACCCTCTTCCCTCCTCTGAGGTCTGGAATGGTATCACTCGACTCAAAGCCTCAACCCTCTGTTCGTGCAGCTGGTCTTCCTGGGATGGCCAGCTTCCATCCCGAGTCCTCTCCTTACCATGAGCTATCTCAGGTGTGGTCCAGGGGACCGGGCATGAATGACCCATACACTCCAGTCACTCAAGAAATCCTAGGACTTAAAGGTCACCTCCCAGGAACTGGGGACAGAGTCCAGCCACATACTTTATTATACATGCACAGCGTGCATTCTTTTCTGTGTGGCTTCTCTCACTCGGGGACTGTCGTTTGTAATCCCCTTTGTCACGGTACAGACGGGCACACTGAGGCTCAGAGAGGTGAAGAGACTTGTTCAGAGCCAGCCAGCATCTAGGGGCTGGAACTCGGGGCTCCAGGCATCCCGTCTGCAGCGCGGCATCTCTGACTCCTCCTGCCTGGCCTCTTCCCACAGGGTGAGAGGCTGAGCCACGCCGTGGGCTGCGCTTTCGCGGCCTGCCTGGAACGAAAACAGAGGCGTGAAAAGGAATGCGGGGTCACAGCCGCCTTCGATGCCAGCCGCACCAGCTTCTCCCGCGAGGGCTCCTTCCGCTTGTCTGGAGGCGGGCGGCCCACAGAGCGTGAGGCTCCAGACAAAAAGAAAGGTGGGTGTTACCTGGAGGGTGGGGCCGGGGGATCCAGTTTTTGGGGGAGAGCTGCAGAGGTCCCGGGACTCTACGGTTTACAAAGCAGGGCGAGACCCCAAAGTTTTATTAGTGTTTGTGAAACACAGTTCAGTTTAAGAGTTCTTGGAGAAATACTCTGCAGGTCACAAGTCATAGCACAACTCACCAACGCTCTATTTCCTGCCAAGTCAGGGAGGTTCTCGGGTGCTTCAAACTGTTTGGGGTCTCCTGAGTTTGGTTAAAGTTCTTGAGAGGGACAGGCACCCAGCAGCCCCTTGGAAGAAAGGCGTGGTGATCGGCTTCCGGAAAGGTTGTTGTTAGTTGCCGTCCAGTCGGTCCCTGACTCGCAGCAACCCCGTGGACACAGTAGACTGCACAGGGTTTCCTTGGCTGGGACTTTCCCGGAAGCAGGTCACCAGTGTTTCTTCCATGGAGCCCCTGGGTGTGTCGGAACTGCCAACCTTTCTGTTAGCAGCCAATCACAAACTGCTTGTGCCACCCAGGCTCCTCCCTAAAGATAACAGCCAAGAAGGCACCCTGGAGCAGCCCTGCTCGTTAACACGTGGGGTCGCCATGAGTGGGAATCGACTCCAAAGCGGTGGGTTTGAATTTTTTGTGTTTTTTTTGGTATCAAAAGTTAGTGGTGCATTATAAATTCAGTTTGCTTGCTTGTGACGTTATAAAAAGAAACAGGATGGAAAAGATTGGAGTATATCAAATGTGGTAAGGGTGACCCAAACCAAACTCACTGCCTTCAAGTCGATGCCAACTCATGGTGACCCCCGTTGGGTTTCTGAGGTGGTAAATCTTTACAGAAGTAGATTGTCCAGTCTTCCTTCCACAGAGCAGCTGGTGGGTTTGAACCACCAACCTTCTGGTTAGCAGTCAAGTGCCTTAGGCACTACCCCCACAGAGTTCTTTTTTGTGGTAAGGATAAGTATGATTTTAATGGTGCTTTTATGCAGTATATACATTTGTATGTGTATGTGGAATGGGTCACCATGTAAAAGGTTTTCTTATTCAAAAAGTTTGGAAAACACCTGATAAACTCTAACACTATGTAAATGGTAAAATAAATAAGTAAAATAAAAACGCTTGAGTCACAGCGCGCATAAAGGAGAGCGTGGAACTGCCCCATAGGGTTTCCAAGGCCGTCAGTCTTTGTAGAAGCCTTTAGCAGCTCAGCGTTTGACCACTGCACCACCAGGGTGCCGATGTAAATAGTAAATACTTTGTAAATTCTAAAATAGTGTGTGTATGCATGTGTATTTTACAGTGCGTTGAATCATGATGTATATATTTTATTTATTTATTTTTTTACTGTAGACTATAGTTTCAAAAAGGAGCTCTGGTGGCATAGTGCCTAAGGCATTTGACTGCTAACCAGAAGTCTGGCAGTTCAAACCCACCAGCCACTCCTCGGAAGGAAGATTGGGCAATCTACTTCCATAGTCATACCACCTCGGAAACGCAAAGAAAGGTTGCTGTGAGTCAGACCTGACTCCACGGCAGTGAGTTTGGTTTGGTTTTTTGGTTTATAGTTTCAAAAAAAATTGAGAAACAGTGGTTAAAATTACTAGAAACTGATTACTGGAAAGAATCATCACTGGAAACCGACACAGATTAAAGGAGAATAAAGAGATCTGACAACTACTCATCAATGGAAGGTGTGATCCAGACTTGGATCCTTATTATTATTATTTTACTTATTTATTTTTCACTAAAAAAAAAACTAATTGCTAATCAGAAGGCTGGCGGTTCAAACCCACCAGCTACTCCTTGGAAGGAAGATTGGGCAATCTACTTCTGTAGTGATACCGCCTTGGAAACCCAAGGAGGGGTCGCTATGAGTCGGATCCAACTTGATGGCAGGCAGGTTTTTTTTTTTTTTTCAAATAAAAATTTAGGAAAGTAAGTTTCTATCATTTACTAGAATATTAGAGTGTACAAGGTATATTTTTGCTTAAAGTTACATAACCATTCACAATCCTTTTTAAAAGTTCTTTGCAACATGGAAAGCATTTTCCGGTTTATGTAGTGTATTAAAATTTGAAGGTTATCAGTGGTAAAACATAACACAATGGACTCAGACACACCAGCAATTAGATGACACAGAACCAGGCGGTCACGTCTCGTCCTGTTATTATAATGTCACCATGAGTCGGAGCTGACTTGGCAGCCCCGCCACCACGCGACAAAGTGAAGTTGACCAAGGTCATGTTTCAGGTTTACAAAGAGCATACTCTGTACACGGTCCTTCTAGTTCACAAACTCTCCATTTAGAATTCACAAAGACCATTCTCACACATAAAGCACATTACAACATCTGCAGAAGATTTTCCTGTTACTGAAGTATACTATAAATTCTCGGTACTTTGCGTTACACAAAGCCCTTACTGTTTGCCCAGCAAATGAGAGTTTACAGAGTAAGGGATGAACTCCCGGACCTGCCAGGAGCTTTGGGGGATAGTGGGTAAGGCATTTGGCTGCTAACCAGAAGGTCGGCAGTTCAAACCCACCAGCTGCTCCACGATGCTGACTCAAGGTGACCCCGTGTGGGTCGGAGTAGAACCGTGCTCCCTCCGTAGTTCTCAGTGGCTGATTTCCTGGAGGTAGGTGACAGGCCTTTCTTCCAGCGTGCCTCTGAGTGCATTGGTCAGCACTTGAGCACTTCACCATTTGTACCACCCAGAAGACAACTTACTCATTACAGATAATGTGTGTGTGTGTGTGTGTGTGTGTGCACTCACCTTGGGACCTTGCCCTCTTTGTTGAGTGGGGAGACCAAGTTCATGGGGCAATGTACTTCCATAAAGATTTACGGCCTTGGAAACCCAGTGGGGGTCACTAGGAGTCAGAACCAACTCAATGGCAGTAGGTTTGGTTATAAGATAGTGGATTACGTTTACTTGCCGATTCACAGTCTGAAGGCACCGTATTTTCACAAAGCATTGTGGTTTGGTTTGTTTTTTTTTTCCTCCTGTGTACGTGAGTAGTTCCCAAGGAGTGCATTTTTTACAAAATTGTCTATTACGGTTTTTTTTTGGCAGATTCACTGCCTCAGCTGGCCCTCTCAAGAGGCCCTGGAATAGCACTGGGGTGCTCATCCTGGGTTTACAGTTGAAGAGTCCTGGGGTGGTACCAATGGTTAGGGTGCCTGGGCTGCTCACCAGAAGGTTGGAGGTTCACGGCTGCCCAGAGGCACCTCCGGAGAAAGGCGAGGGGACCTGCTTCCAGAACAGTTGGCCGTCGAGAGCCTGGGGAGCCAGTTCTCCTGGGGCACGTGGAGTCACCGTGAGCCAGAGTTGACTCGGTGGCAACTGGGAAAAACAAGAATCACTGGGGACAGGGAGACAGCTCCAGGGGTGGGAGGGGAAGAGAAGGACACAGGGGAGAGGTGACCACAGGGAGGAAGAGAGCTATTACATTGTGAGGACTGAAGTCAGTGTCTTGATACAAAATGTATATGAACTTTTGTATAGAAAATGAATTTGCTTTGCAAACTTTCAACCAAACCACAATAAAAATAAAATTGTTGGGGAAACTGGTGCCCAGAGGGGCGGGAGACTTCCTGAGGTCTCACAATGAGGTGGAGGCCAAGGTGGCTTCCCTGTTCCACTCTGTCCTAGGCTGTTTGCACTGCACCAGGCCCCACCCGTGTGCAGGCCTCAGCCACCTCACCCTGGAGGGTGGGAGAAGCCCTACTGGGGGCAGTCACCACGCCCTCTCTGGGTCTGAGTCTAACCCCTCCAGTATTCAAGCTGCAGTTCACTGAGGCCCAGTTAGGAGGGTGTGTGTGTGTATTGGCAGTGGTGGCTGGGACCCTGCCCTATTTGTTGAGTGGGGAGACCAGGTTTTCCCCTAGAGCACAGAAAATAGTCCCAGAAAGGAGAGAGCTCGGTGAGGGGCTGGAACAGTCTGGAAAGCTGTTCAGAGGATGACGTGTGCCTAGAAGGACGGGTAGCGGCTCCCAGAAGGGAGGAGATACTTGCAGTGGAAAGAGTGGTATGCGGGAGACCACAAGAGGCGCAGACAGAGAGAAGGCACGATGGGGAAACTGAGGCAGAGGGAGAGGCAGTTCAGGGCAGTCATTTGAAGCTGGAGTCAGCTTCCCCCGTCCTGCTGTTGTGACTTGGGAAACTTTCCACATCTATGAAATGGGGATGATGATTGAGCCTACCTTGCTGGGTGGTTGTGAAGCTTGATGCATTAATGCCTGCAAAGCCCTCGCAACATTGCACAATATGATGTTCGTGAGCCAAATAAGTGCATGTTACCTTAGTCAGAAAGGGAGTTGGAGAGTCTCAGAGAAGAGAGGGAGGGAGCAGCAGAGGAGGACAGATCAGGGCCAGTAAGCTAGAGAGAGACAGAGGGGTCGGGTTGGGGGAGGATTCCCCAGGGGGCTCCTGAGAGGGTGGTCTTGGCTTGAGTGGGGCAGGATTGGTTTCAGGGCACTGACCCTTGAGGATGAGGAAGGCAGCAGCCTTGGGGAAGATCAGGGGACCAGGTGGGCGGGGCTTGCATGCCAAGGTGAAATGCCTGACCCTTGTCTCTCCATGTCTCCAGCAGAGGCAGCAGCAGCCCCCACTGTGGCTCCAGGCCCTGCCCAGCCTGGACATGTATCTCCGACACCAGCCACCACGTCCCCTGGCGAGAAGGGTGAGGCAGGCACCCCGGTGGCTGCGGGCACCACTGCAGCTGCCATCCCCCGGCGCCATGCCCCTCTGGAGCAGCTGGTTCGCCAGGGCTCCTTCCGTGGGTTCCCCGCGCTCAGCCAGAAGAACTCACCTTTCAAACGGCAGCTGAGCCTGCGGCTGAACGAGCTGCCTTCCACACTGCAGCGCCGGACTGACTTCCAGGTGAAGGGCACAGGTGAGCCCCGGGCTCAGTGGGGAGGAGCATTGGGATCCATTAGCCCTGTCTGCTGCAGGCAAGGAACATAGGAGAAGTGGTAGACACCATGATTGATTAGTACTGTCTGCCCTGGGCAAATGACAGAGAAGTAGAACGTATCATAATTAACTATCAGCATCTGCCATGGGCAAGTTAGAGAGGAGAGGTGGCACAAATCATGATTGATTAGCAATGTCTGCTATGGCAGGGAGGTCTGTCATGGGCTACAGAAAGAAGAAGAACATCACACGTTTTTGTTAGGAGGAAGCAAAGGCACATTGGGTTGTGCTTTCTGCCAAGAGCCTTTGTCCGGTAGAGCCATGAGGTCTAGCTCAGAGGAAAGAAGGATTGTGATGTATTAGCAATGCCTGCCTTGAGCAGGGAGACTAGAGCATAGGCATACATCATGCTCTCCTAGGAATGTCTGCTGTCAGCAAGAAAAAGGAGAGAGGGTGGCTCACCACTTGATTAAGCAGCAGATGTACCATTGGCAAGAAGAGAGAACAGCAGGCAGCAGGAGTCTTAGGTTCTTGCCCAACAAGAGACTCCCAGAATTTGACCAGTGGAACTAAGAGGTGAAGGGCACAGGCGAGCATAGGGATCAGGGACACTGTGAGAGATTAGTGATGTTGGCTGTGGGCAAAGGCGTGGGCAGAGGCCATCAGCACACGTAGTAATTGGTTAGCCAGGTCTTCCAGGGACAGTGGAGAGGAAAGACGTGGCACATCCTGATTGGTTAGCAATGTCTTCCATGAACAGGGCATAGGAGAAAGGCAGTATACATGGCCTGTTTTGTTTGAAGGAAAGATGGAGTTGCATGGGCCTGTCCTCTCTTCCAGCATTTGACCAAGTAGAGCCATGAGACCTGGCTAGGTGAGGGGTCAGTGGCTCAGTGGGGAAAAGATTGTATTTGATTAGTAATGTCTGCCATGAACAAGGGAAAGGAAACCAAAAAAAGCTAAACCTGTTGCTGTTGAGAGTCAGTTCCAGCTCATGGCAGCCTCAGGTGGTACAGAGTAGAACTGCTTCATGGGGTTTTCTCGGCTGTAATCTTTACAGAGGCAGATGGCCAGGCCTTTTTTGCATGGCCCCACTGTGTGGGTTCGAACCACCAACCATTAGTCTCTCAGTCAAGTGCCAACTGTTTGCATCACTTAGGGACCACAAATCAAATCTATTACCATTGAGTCAGGTCTGACTCATGAAAGAGGTGGCACATCATGAACTAAAAGCAGTGTCTGCCATGGGCAAAGGACGAGAGAGGTGGCACGGTGCCATGTTTTTGTCCACGGGAGAAACCAACAGTCAGGGAAGTGATGCAGTCCAGCCGCCTCCCCTGCTGCCATATGCTAAGTCTGAGACACCTACAGCTCGTGGCCTCGGGCGTTGGTGTGGGAGGGTGTCGATCTGTATCCAGGAGGCGGGGCTGCTCCAGAAGGTAACAGTTGAGCAGCTGCCAACGCTGAGAATGACGCACGCTCGGCTCATGTCCCGCAGCCTCCCTTGGCGTCACTCACCCTCAGATCTGCATCTGATACACCTGCTGTACTCACACAGCATGACACTGAGCACACACCTGTGTCCATCACACGCTCCCCGAGAGGTGGCAGCCCCCAGGCGTTCTTTCGAAGCCTCACACTCCTGCAGCCAGCTGCATGCACACGGCGATGTGACTGACTGCCTCACAAATTTCACAGACCCACCCAGCTGCCACCCTCACACGGGCCACACACGCTCAGAAGTCCCACGCCCAGTCATGTCTACCCAGCATTACACACACCCATTGTCACACACACTCAGGAGTCACACTGCATGTCGTACAGTCAAGAAACCACACACACTCAGAAGTCACACTTCAGATATCACACACACTCAGGAGTCAGAACACATGTCATACAGTCAGAAACCGCACACACTCAGAAGTCACACCCCATGTTGCACACAGTCAGAAGTCACACTGAGAAGTTACTCATGCAGATGTTGGAATGCTAGTGGGACCCAGATGTCCCACTCAGAACTCACACACACACAGTCACACACACTCAGAAATCACACGCTCAGGTGTCACACACAGAAGTCTCTCTCTAGCTTTGCCTGCTCTCAGAGCCCACACAGCCGGATCCATGCACTCGGAAGTCACATTTGCAGATCACACACACTCACACTTAGGTGTCCATATCATATACCGCACAGGTGGACTCATTCACACTGGGGATCTCACCTCGGTCACCACACACCTGGATTTCAGCCGTACTCAGACGCCACACCATCAGAAGCCACCTACCTGTTTGGTCCTCACCCACACACAGTCATCACAGACAGTGGCCTGGAAACCATATCTCACCCTGCCCACTGGGCAGTCCCATGTCACACCTGTTGACTCCTGCAGCCTAGTTTTATTCTGATGCTTTCTGGTGCATCACACATGCTCCCTTGGCAACAACCTCTTGGTGACATTATCACTGCCCTTTGTCACACACTGCACTTGGCGGTGATCTGTTGTCTATTTGGATGGCTGTGCTCATCTCATTCCTTCCTGAGGCCAACACAGACCAGTCTGGATGGCACAGGTGCACCTCTGCCCTCAAGATGCACATTATAGGCCAGGCCAGGTCGGGTGCACACGGCCCTGCCTGCGTGCCCAAAGCAAGACTAGGTGTTGTCAGCCAGAGAACAGCAGTGCGGCCGGCATCCATTCTGGCCGGTTGCCCCTGTTGTCCATGTGTGTCATAGTTCTCTGAGGCTGCTGTAACAGAACCACCACAAGTGGTAGGTGGCTTTCACAAGCAGAAGTTCATTTTCTCACTCCAGGAGGCGAGAAGTCCGCACTCAGGGTGCCGGCCCGGGAGGAGGGCTTTCTCTCCCTGTTGGCTCTCGGGGGAGGGCCTTGTCTCTTCAGCTTCTATCGCTGGCTCCTTGGTGACTTCACGTGGCGTGGCATCTACCTTCCCCCAACCCTGCTTGCTCCCTTCCTTGTTTATTCTCTTTTATATCTCAGAAGGGATTGACTTGAGACACACCCTACACTAATCCTGCCTCATTAACATAACACAGAAGACCCACTCCAAATGGGATCACAACCACAGGTATAGCATTTATGGCACGTTTTGGGGAGATGCATTTCAATCCGTAACAGGGTACTTAAACAGATTGTTTAATTCATACATTTTCAATATTTTTTCTGGCTTGTGGCCTCATAGATCTTAAGGTCCTTAGTTCTGTCCCACTCCACTTGTCACTGTCAGCCATCAAATGTTATACACTGAATGTGACTGTTGTACCGCCCAGATGTCACACACCCACACGCACAGTTACCATTTATGTGGCCATGGCTTCTCAGTTACTGCAGAGTGGACTCACCAACCTATACACCTTGTGTGGGACAGGACCCTGTGCTGTAACAGGGGGCCACCTTAGGGCATAGGGGTAAGGGACAGGCTGGGGTGGGGTCTGGGCCTGTTGACTGACCTTCCCTACCCTGACTTCCCAGTGCCTGAGATGGAGCCTCCGGGTACCGGTGACAGTGATGGCATCAATGCTCTGTGTACACAGATCAGCTCGTCTTTTGCCAGCACAGGGGCACCAGCAGCAGGTCCACCACCTGCTCCAACAGGTAAGCCCAGTCCTTCGACTGGGGACACCTGCAGTGCCCCTCCTGCATATTCCCCTTCTCCATCCAGGGTGACCTCAGGGGCTCCAGGAAGCTTGAATCCCACAGGCTTAGTCAGAACCATGGGATCATCTTACAGCTGTGGAATTCTCTTAGTTCATCTTAGTGCTGTGGGGTTGTCTTGGAACCATGAGATGACTTTAGAGCCATGGAATCATCCTAGAACCTTAGGATCACCTTAGAACCATGGGATTGTTTTAGAGCCATAAAATAATCTGGGGGAAGGTTCTTACCTCTCCAGCTTCTATTCCTTACTCCTTGGTGATCTTCAGGTGCCATGGCGTCTGTGTTCCCCCATCTCTGCCTGATCATTTCCTTGTTTCATCTTTTATGTCTCAAGAGATTGATTTACGACACACCCTGCACTAATGCTTTCTCATTAACATAACATAAAAGACCCATTCCCAAATGGGATTATAACCACAGGCACAGGGTTTTTATAATCTTAGAGCCATGAGATCATTTTAGAGCCAAGGGACCATCTTAGAGTTGTGGGATCATTTTAGAACCATGAGATCTTAGAGCTATGGGATCACCTTAGAATCATGGGATCACCTTGGAACCATGGGATCATCTTAGAACCAGGGGGCCTTAGAATTTTGGGGTCATCTTAGAATTATGGAATAATTTTAGAACCATGAGATCTTTCTTTTTTTTTTAATGAGATTGTCTTAGAGCTATGGGATCATCTTAGAACTAAGAGATCACCTTAGAGCCATGGGATCACCTTAGAAACATAAGATCATCTTAGAGCCATAGGATCATCATAGAGCTATGGGATGATCCTAGAACCAAGGGATCACCTTAGAACCATGAGATCATCTTAGGCCCATGAGATCACCTTAGAGTCATGAGGTCAGGCACTGGGAAGTCAGGGTAGGGAAGGTCAGTCAACAGGCCCAGACCCTGCCCCAGCCTGCCCCTTACCCCTATGCCCTAAGGTGGCCCCCTCTTACAGAACTATGGGACTGATTTTAAAACCTTCCTATATTAGAACCAGAGCTCTGGTGGCTTAGTGCCTAAGGCACCTGACTGCTAACCAGAAGCTTGGCGGTTCAAACCCACCAGCCACTCCTTGGAAGGAAGATGGGGCAATCTACTTCTGTAGTGATACTGCCTCGGAAACCCTAGTGGGGGTCGCTATGAGTCGGGTCTGACTAGACGGCATGTAACAACAACAACAACATGTTAGAACCAGAGCTCTGGTGGCATAGTGCCTAAGGCACTTGACTGCTAACTGGAAGGCTGGCAGTTAAAACCCACCAGCCACTCCTCAGAAGGAAGATGGGGCAATCTACTTCCGTAGTGATACCACCTCGGAAGCCCAAGGAGGGGTCACTATGAGTCGGGTCTGACTCAACAGCAGTGAGTTTGGTTTTAATATTTAGAGAGCTACAGCCTTCAAACTACTGATATTATAGTATAACAGATTTGGAAACATGAAATCTCAGAGTCACACAGTTTGAGAAAAGTGTGTTCTGAGAAATGTCACACCATATTCTGGGCTCATCCGAGAGCCATGGAAGCACCTTCCAAGCTCAAACAATGTCCAGGTAGAACTCTAGACTCTTAGAAATACAAACTTAAAGCCGTTGGACCTCACTCCATCAGAATAGTTCACTCTGAGAACAATCCATGCAGTCTCCTAAAACCTTACGTTCTCAAAATACTAGATGCAAGGATGATGTCAGAAATATTTAATAACTGGCTTAGCACTGCCCAGTCTGACTGGAAGCCGACCTCACTGTCAGTCCTGCTTTTTTGATCTCAAGATGTCAGAATCTCAGAATCGTATGATCTTCACACCACGCAACCCTTCCGTGGTCCAGAACAGTTAAACCACTGTCCAGTCAGTACAGCTTGCGAAGAGCAGAGCTGGGCTTCAAAGCCCTGCAGTCTGGCTCCAGAGCCTGTGCTCTGGTGCCTGTGCAGTCCTGAGTGCCAGCGGGAGTTCCGTCCACTACTGCCCAGGCCCCCTCACTTGCCCCTTTCCTCTCTCCAGGGACTTCTGCCTGGGGCGAGCCCTCCGTGGCCTCTGCAGCTACCTTCCAGCCCGGGCACAAGCGGACACCTTCAGAGGCTGAGCGATGGCTGGAGGAGGTGTCCCAGGTGGCCAGGGCCCAGCAGCAGCAGCAGCAGCAGCAAGGAGCCTCGGTGCCCCCTGTGCCCACCATGCTTCCCTCCCTGCAGCCCTTCCCCGCCCCAGTGGGGCCCTTTGACACAGCACCTGCGCAGGTGGCCGTGTTCCTGCCGCCCCCACATATGCAGCCCCCCTTTGTGCCCGCCTACCCAGGCCTGGGCTACCCACCCATGCCCCGGGTACCTGTGGTGGGCATCACACCCTCCCAGATGGTGGCCAATGCCTTCTGCTCAGCTGCCCAGCTCCAGCCCCAGCCCGCCACCCTGCTTGGGAAAGCTGGGGCCTTCCCACCCCCTGTTGTGCCCAGTGCCCCTGGAGGTCAGGCCCACCCACGCCCCAATGGGGCCCCCTGGCCCCCTGAGCCAGCACCTGCCTCGGCCCCTGAGCTGGACCCCTTCGAGGCCCAATGGGCAGCGTTAGAAGGTAAATCCACCACAGAGAAGCCTGCCAACCCCTTCTCTGGTGACCTGCAGAAGACCTTCGAGATTGAACTGTAGCCCAAGCTGCCCCTGCCCACCCCATTATCCCAGGTGCCCCACACCTGGGAGTGGAGGCACAGCCCTTCTCCTGGTCCTGGTACTTGGGGCTGTGCCCCCCAACACTCTCTCTAACCACTTCTCTCTACCACCCCCATAATCACTACAGAACCAACATTGGGACGCCCAGGTTGTGACAAGATAGAATTCAGGGACGGACCCAGCCTGGCTATAGGACTCATTTCACTGCCAGACTCAACCTGGCAATGCCTCCCTCTCCTCACTCCCAGACACCGGGATGGCCACAATCCCACTGAATGCCCTCGGTTCAAGCTACATTTCCCAGTTTCTGTTGTTGACCTTAAAGAGCTCTGGTGGGACAATGTGGTTAAAGCCAACCGAAAGGTTGGTGGCCTTGGAAAGATTGACAACCTTGGAAACCCGATGGGGGACTGTGAGTCTGAATCAACTCAGTGGCAGTGGGTTTTGGTTTGGGTTGTTGACTTTCCACCTTCCAGTGTTGGGCAGGATGGAGGAGGGATGCCCATTGCAGGGGCTCCCCTGGGCCCCAAAGGAGTGCCCACCCCAAGTCTGGTCATCCCCCACCATACACAGCACAAGCTAAGGGCCCCCTGGGCCTGCCTGCTGCGTTCACTGCCAATGCTGTGCTCACCCCTCTCGCCACGCCCCCCCAGCCCACATCTTTCTAGGGTCAAGGTCTCATGGGGGCAGGGGCCAAGTTTGGGGGCCCAGGAAGCGGGGGAGGGGGAAGGAGGAGAAGATGCTCAGTTACCTCACATCTGTGCCCGCCTGGGGGGGAGGGGATCAGGCAGAAAGGGAGGGGTGCCTGGCAGATAATTTTCTATCTTTTATTTCCAGATTTTTTTTGTATCTAAACTTGCAGATTTGTATTATACAAGGACAGCCAATAAAGGAGGAATATAACGGTGACCCTCAGGGACACGGGGTGTGTTTCTAGGGGGCAGGGTGTGGGCACAGACCTTTACTCCTGAGTCATCTACCAAAACAGGAGGAGAGGGGCTCCCCACACAAGAACCCGAGTCACCGGTGTAGCAGCCAATGCCGACCAAGCTCTTGGGAGGAGGATGCTAAATGGTGCCAGAAATGAATCACCCCATTTCTGTTCCTTACAGATTGAACCAAGGAATACGAAAATATAAACTGCTGCTAATTATTTCAGTATTAAACTGTTGAATAATCAGGCTTGAAATAGTGTATCTTTGTGCTGACAACCCTTGTTTCATCAGTGAACATTTTCTGTAACTCTGGCCAGCCACACACCTGACATGGCTTGTTTTTTAAAATCCCTCTGTTGTTTCTCAAAAGGAGCTCTGGTGGCGCAGTGCCTATGGCATCTGATTGCTAACCAGAAGGTTGGCGGTTCAAACCCACCAGCCACTACTCCATGGAAGCAAGACTGAGCAATCTACTTCCATCAAGATTTACCTCCTTGGCAACCCAATGGGGGTCACTATGAGTCAGAATCAACTTGATGGCAGTGGGTTTGAGGTTTTTTTTTTTATTGTGTCTCAAAGGGGCTCTGGTGGCACAGTGCCTAAGGCATTTGACTGCTGACCAGAAGGTTGGTGGTTCAAACCCCCCAGCTACTCCACAGAAGGAAGACAGGACAATCTACTTACATAAAGATTCACTGCCTGGGAGACCCAATGGGGGTTGCTATGAGTTGGAATCAACTCGATGGCAGTGGGTTTATTGTTTCTCAAAGGGGGTCTTTTGGTGGTGCAGTGGCTGAAGCATTTGGCTGCTAACCAAAAGGTTGGTGGTTTGAACCCATCAGCTGCTCTATGGGAGAAAGATGAGGCAGTTTGCTTCTGTAAAGGTTTGCAGCCTTGGAAACCATACGGAGCAGTTCTGCTCTGTCCTCTAGGGGTGCTGTGAGTTGGGTTCTGTGGAAGTGGGTTGGGTTTGGGCTTTGCTTCCATAAAGACTGACAGCCTTGGAAACCCTATGGGGCAGTTCCACTCGGTCCTACAGGGTGGCTATGAGTTAGAATCGATTTGATGGGAGTGGGTTTATTGTTTCTCAAAGGAGTCCTGGTGGTGAAGTGGTTCAGCTGCCAACCAGAAAGGTCGATGCTTTGTTTGCTCCTCAGGAGAAAGATGTGACAGTCTGCTGCAAAGACTGTGGCCTCGGAAACCCTCCTAGGGTCACTATGAGTTGCACTCATCTGTTGGTTTGTCCTGTGGTGGCTTGCGTGTTGCTGTGATGCTGGAAGTTATGCCAGTGGTATTTCAAATACCAACGGGGTCACCCATGGGGGACAGGTTCAGCAAAGCTTCCAGACTAAGACTGGGAAGAAGGATGTGGCCAGGTCCACTTCTGAAAGGAAAATGGGCACTGACGGCGTTATGAATAGCAGGGAAAGTACTGTCTGACAGTGCTGGAGGATGAGCCCCTCAGGTCAGAAGGCACTCAGAATACAACTGGGGAAGAGCTGCCTCCTCAAAACAGAGTCGACTTTAATGATGTGGATGGAGTCAAGCTTCTGGGACCTTCATTTGCTGACGTGGCTTGACTCAAAATGAGAAGAAACAGCTGCAAATATCCATTAATCAGAACATGGAATGTACAGAATATGTTGTTAGGTGCCATCAAGTTGTCTCCGACTCTGCGACCCTATGTACAGCAGAACGAAACACTGCCTGGTCCTGTGCCAACTCCATGATCCTTGTTATACCTGAACCCATCATGGCAGCCACTGTGTCAATCCATCTCATTGAGGGCCTTCCCCTTTTCTGTTGACCCTCCACTTTACCAAGCATGATATCCTTCTCCAGGGAATGGTCCTTTCTTACAACATGACCAAAGTAGGTGAGACAAGTCTGGCCATTCTTGCTTCCAAGGAGCAGTCTAGCTGCACTTCTTCCAGGGCAGATTTGCTAATTCTTTTAGCAGTCCGTGGTACTTTCAGCATTCTTCTCCAACACCACAACTCAAAAGCATTGACTGTTCTTTGGTCTTCTTATACATTGCCCAGCTCTCACATGCATATGAGGTGGTTTAAAATACCATGGCTTTTGTCAGGTGCACCTTAGTCTTCAAGGAGACATCTTTGTTCTTCAGCACTTGGAAGAGGTCTTTTGCAGCAGATTTCCCCAGTGTTGTCTGATATCTTGACTGCTGCATCCATTGGTGTTGATTGTAGAACCAAGTAATAACAAGTTTTTGACTTCAGTCTTTTCTCCTTTTATCATGATGCTGCTTATTGTTCCAGTTGTGAGGATTTTTGTTTTCTTTATATTGAGATGTAATCCATACAGCAGACTGTGGTCTTCAGTCTTCATCAGTAAGTGCTGCAAGTCATCCTCACTTTCAGCAAGCAAAGTTGTGTCATCAGTGTATCGCAGGTTGTTAATGATTCTTCCTCCAATCCTGATGCCACATTCTCCTTATACAGTCCAGCTTCTCAGATTATTTGCTCAGCATACACATTGAATAAGTATGGTGAAAGGATATAACCCTGACACTCCCTTCCTGATTTTAAACCATGCAGTGTCCCCTTGTTCTGTTCAGACATACAGTATGGAACTAAGACAATTGGAAGTTGTAAAAAATGAAATGGAACACACAAAGATTGATACCCTAGGCATCAGTGAGCTGAAATGGACTGGTATTGATCATTTTGAATCAAACGGTCATATGGTCTGTGCTGGGAATGACAAGAATGGCATCACATTCATCATCAAACAGAACATTTCAAGATCTAGCCTGAAGTTCAGCGCTGTCAGTGATAACATAATATCCATACGCCTACAAGGAAGACCAGCTAATATGACTATTACTCAAATTTACGCACCAACCACTAAAAACAAAGATGAAGAAATTGATTTTTACCAATGTCTGAAGTCTGAAATTGACCAAGTATGCAATCAAGATGTATTGATTTTTACTGGTGACTGGATGCAAAAGTTGGAAACAAAGAAGAAGCATCAGTAGTTGGAAAATAGTGGCCCTGGATCCTGGATATAGCATGACAGAATTTTGCACAATTAGTGACTTACTCATTACAAATACCTTTTAAAACAACATAAATGGCAACTATATACGTGGTCCTTGCCCAATGGAATGAATACATGGAAATCAAATCGACTCTATCTGTGGAAAGTGATGATGGAGAAGCTCGATATCGTCAGAACAAGACCAGGGGCCAGTTGTGGAACAGACCATCAATTGCTCCTATTCAAGTTCAAGTTGAAGCAGAAGAAAATGAAAACAAGTCCACGAGAGCCAAAATATGACCTTGAGTATATCCCATCTGGATTTAGAGACCATCTGAAGAATAGATTTGATGCAGTGAACACCAGTGACTGGAAACCAGATGAGTTGTGCGATGGCATCAAGGACATCACCCATGAAAAAAACAAAAGGTCATTAAAAAGATAGGAAAGAAAGAGACCAAAATGGATTTCAGAAGAGACTCTGAAACTTGCTGTTGAACAGAGAGTAGCTAAAGCAAATGGAAGCAATGATGAAGTTAAAAGAGCTGCACAGAAGATTTCAAAGGGTGGCTCGAGAAGACAGTATAGTATTATAATTTGAAATGTGCCAAGAACTGGAGTTGGAAAAGCAAAGGGAGGAACATGCTCAGCATTTCTCAAGCTGAAAAAACTAAAGGAGAAATTCAGGCCTCAAG